AGCCTAAACCCAAAACCCGAAACCCTTGAAAAAGTCCCCACACCAAAAAAACCTGATCTGAGGTCCCCAACCGCGATCCAGAGCAAGTCCACAAAGACCCCGAAGGCCAGGACAAGGAAGGCATGGACGACCTCGGAAGCCCCAAACCCCAAACTCTCAATTAGGGTTCAGGGTTAAGGGTCGAAGGTTTAGGGTTTAGGGTTTAGGGTTTAGGGTTTAGGGTTTAGGGTTTAGGGTTGCCCTACACCCAAACCCTCGACCCTAATCCCTGAGTCGGTGGTCTTATGCCTTGAGTGCCCCAGGCCACGGGCTGGCTAAGAGCCGTCGTCCCTTTAACATCCGTCTGAAGCTACTCTCACTGTATTCTGGTAGCTTCACTTGAGTTCCTTAGGGTGTAGGGTTTTAGAGTTTAGGATTTAGGGTTTAGGGTTTAGGGTTTAGGGTTTAGGGCTAGCTTCACGGCAGCTCCTTCGCAACCCGGAAAAGTGGTCCGAAGCGTGCACCACCTGAACTCGGAACCCTCTAGCACCCCCTCCTAGACGCCCAAGTGCCCTGTAAGTTGCCCATACAGCCCTAAACCCTAAACCCTAAACCCGAAACCCCAAACCCTAAACCCTAAACCCTAAACCCTAAACCCCAAACCCTAAACCCTAAACCCTCAACCCGTAACCCTAAAGCCCTACCCCCCCCCCCCGCTCCCCACAAGCTTCCGGCCCACATGAAGAGGCAGAACTCGGTGGCCTCGATCGTGGAGGATGGCCTGGATGACTGTTGCCGATGGGCTGGTTTAGGGTTTAGGGTTCAGGGCTCCGGTTTAGGGTTATCTATGGCATGTTGTGAGATGCATCCGATCTACAAGCACCACTTGCGTGAGGCGGTTGCTCTTCTGGACGCCTTTTCAAGAAAAACCACGTGTGGGAGAAAAACCCTGGGCCTCAAGAACGCCAGCCGGCTGCCTTAAAATTGAGACAACCCAACCCAACCCCCAAACCCACACCAACCTTTTCAAGAGGACTTCGGGCAAAATCTACCCTGCACCCCATGAGGCCCTAATATAGGGGTCGGAAGAAATGCGAATACTATTCCCTTATGGTCCCTTTATGGTGATATTATAACAACCCCCCGCCCCCACAAAAAAAAAAAAAAAAAAAACCTAGTCTAAGTATTCAGGCCCCCATATTAGCCCCCTAAACCCTAAACCCTAAACCTTGAACCCTAAACCCTAAACCCTAAACCCTTAACCCTCAACCCTGTTCGAATTATGCAGCCTCCCACATTTGAGCCCCTTCTGAGCTCCCCGGCAGCATGGCAAACAGGATCGTCGTCCGAGCTACGCTCCAAAGAAGCGACATGCCTCGGCTGCTTTGGGGGTTTAGGGCCGTTTAGGGTTTAGGGTTTAGGGTTTAGGGTTTAGGGTTTAGGGTTCAGGGTTCAGGGTTCAGGGTTCAGGGTTCAGGGTTTCGGGAGTTAACTATAGTATAATAGGGACGACAAGGTAATCCCACAGTAACTCTTCCGACCCCTACGTTACATTGCGCATGGTGGTTTCTGGATTATGGGGCTTAGAGATTGGGGGCCCCAACACCCTCAAAACTCTGCAGACCTAAACCTTTTCTAGGATGTTCCTTAAACCCTTCTGATAAATGATCCCTACCCATTGAAGAGACACAAAAAATCCCCGGCGCCTTCCTACTTTCGTGAAGCCCCAGAAGCCGTAAGTCCTAAACCCTAGAAGCCCTTAAGCTCAAGCCCATGAATCTTGTAAGCCCTCGAAGCCTTCCGCAACGCTCTATGACCCTGCAAAACCGCAAAAGCCTTCACCCCTCCCAAAACAAAATGGGGTTTAGGGTTTAGGGGTTTAGGGGTTTAGGGTTTAGGGTTTAGGGTTTGGGGTTTGGGGTTTGGGGTTCAAGTCGCTCCCAACCACCCTTAGAACGAGCTTAGAGCCTGGGTTGTTGGGTGGAACCTGCGGCACAGGGGCAGTCATCTGAGAAGCGGTAGTTGAACCTGCCATGGACAGGGTTCCCAAGTGTGGGCCACTTAATCTGGGCCCCTTGTTATATTCAACCCTTTCTATCTACCCCACAGAAGCATAACAAGGGCCCATACTTCGGATCCCTATCAACAGGGGTGAGGGACCTACACCCTAAACCCTAAACCCTAAACCCTAAACCCTAAAAACCCTAAAACTCAGGGCCCATAATTCCGATCTTCGACCACAAGAGCTTTCGGGGGTCTCGAGGCTTTGGGGAGGGGGGTGGTGAGGTCTTGCTGCGGTTTAGGATGCAGGGTTTAGGGTTTTAGGGTTTAGGGTTTGGGAGTCAGGGTTCAGGGTTTAGGGGATCAAGCTTTTGAAGTCTTAGAGCCCTTAGGACTCTTTCCCTGACCCCAATCCCTAAGCCCTAAACCCTGAACCCCGAATCCCAGCCCCAAGCCCTAAGCCCCAAGCCTCAAGCCCTAAACCCTGACCCCTAAACCAAAAGCCCTAAACCCTAACCCCGTAAAGCCTAAATTATAAACCCTAAACCCTAAACCCTAAACCCTAAGCCCTAAGCCCTAAGCCCTGCACCCCAAGCCCTTAGCCCTAAACCGCGCAGGTTGCACCTCGTGTCCTGCTCCAGCGCCGCTTGCAGCAGCACCTTGGAGGGGTGGAGGGTTTAGGGTTTAGGGTTTAGGGTTTAGGGTTTAGGGTTTAGGGTTTAGGGTTTAGGGTTTAGGGTTTAGGGTTTAGGGTTTAGGGTTTAGGGTTTAGGGTTTAGGGTTTAGGGTTTAGGGTTTAGGGTTGCCACATTTGCGGAGGTGGAGTCGGCTCTGTTAGGGGCAGTTTCGGGCTTTAGGTTTCAGGGCCCTTTTATTCTCATTATTACTAGTCTTATTATTACTCATATTATTAATATTTTTCATTTTGTGAATATCATTAATATTCTTAATATTATTAATATTATTAATATTATGAAGAATTATTCATACTATTTATATTATTCATATTATTAATATTTTTTAGATTCTTAATATTTTTAATATTATTCATATTATTATTATGAGTAATAATAATAATTGTCATCTTGTTTTTGTCTTTGTTGGGGGGGGGGGGGGGGGGTAGGTTTAGGGCTTTAGGGTTTGGGGTAGGTAGCTTAGGGCTTTAGGGTTTGTGTTTTAAGGTCAGGGTTTATAAGGTTTGGGGTTTAGGGCTTCAGGTTTGGGGGTCCGGGGTTTCGCAAGGATTGAAACTTTGTTATTCATGGCTTTGGTTCAGTGGTTGGCCTTAAATCAAGTGTCGGACTAAACTAGGCTTTAGCTCGGTGTGGGGATTAGGGATTCAAACTTGGAGGTTTTAGGGTTTTGGGTTTGGGGTGTGGGGCTTTGAGGTTTAACATGTCGCCCAGCAACTATGTTCTGACAAGGTTTCTGTCCCGCCAGGTGCACCCCACGACAGGCCTCGAATAAGTTTCCAGGCTGGCCCTTGGATCCGGCTTTTGGCACATCCTGCCCCGCACATCATCGGGTTTAGGGTTTAGGGTTTATAGGGTTTAGGGTTTAAGGTTTAGGGTTTCGGATTTCGGGATGCGCGGCACTCTGCTGCGGCTTGTTTTGGGGGTTGAGAAGGGCGTAAGGGCGTTTAAGGCTTCCAGGGTTTACCCTAAACCCTAGACCAAGCCCTAAACCCTAACCCTAAACCCTACCTTAAGAACCCAAAGCCTGCCTTTTTTGCAGGTTCTTCGCATAAACCCCCTATAGGACTCTTCCGGAACCTACACAAAAATCACTAAGTTTTGGATTCTTACTTAAATTATGTTTGCAGCTTTTCAGAATTTAGTTTTAGAGAGAGAGTTTTGGGGGCTCTGGGGATTCAAGATTCAGGGAGTTTGGGGTTTCGGGCATCGGGGCTCAATGCGCCGCGAAGCCCTAAACCCGACACCCTCTTGAACGTGACAGCAAAATATTAACATATTTCCAAGCGTTCGTTGCAAGCGCCGCCACCTTGGCTTTTGGTACGCTACTACACTGCTTGTGTCGAGCACAATGACTTTTGTCCAAGGGCTTTAGATTGAAATCCAGGCTTCAGGGGGTTGTACTTGGAGGTTCATGGTACTTAGTAACTAATGAGAACTGCACTTATAACCCAATTTTAAGTCGTACAGTTCTAGTTAGATACTAAGTACCATGAACCTCCAAGTAGGCGCAGGCTTTAGGCTCCAATCTCCTCCCGGATTTTAGGGTTTGGAGGTGGAGGGTTCAGGGCTTAGGAACAGAGACTTGCTGCCTTGCCTTAAACCCTAATTTAACCCGAAGCACTAGCCCCAAAACCCCGAAACCCCGAAACCCCGAAACCCCGAAATCCTATACCCCAATAAAACCCTATACCCCAAATCCTAAACCCATAAAGTCAGGGCGAGTCCTGCGCAGGCTTGTTCCCACTGGCAGACAGCGTGATCCACATCCTGGACCCCGTCAGTGTAAGGTTTAGGGTTTAGGGTTTAGGGGCTGAGGGTTTAGCATTTAAGGCTTTAGGGTTTAGGGGTTTAGGGTTTAGACTTTGGTGCGTAAGTGAATTGGGGTGTTTGTGGGTTCGGGCACGTAGAGGTTCGGCCATGCAGTATCACGAATCCGCAGCAAGCTCAGCTGAGTGGGAGAAGTGAGAAGACCTGAACATGCCACTACTACTTCTACCACTACTTCTACCACTACTTCTACCACTTGCTGCTGCTGCTTCTTCTGTTGCTGCTGCTGCTCCTGCTGCTACTACTTGCACTTGCTCGTGCTACTACTACCACCAATTGCAACATCAACACAGCCTCTGTCTGCGCACTTCCCGTAATACGGGTCCCCTCCCATACCCTCAAAATACATAATACGAAGGATCTCCCCCAGAAACCCTAAACCCTAAACTCTCAATCCTAAACCCTAAACCCTAAACCCTTGGAGAAATCCCCACACTGTTGCAGCTCCTGGTGTGGTAGAGCTCTGCCCGGCTGCGGTCTGCCGGGCAGCGCATCATGAAGTGGTAGAAGGTCTCCACATCCTCTAGGGGGTTACGGCAAGGCTTTAGGGTTCAGAGCTTTAGGGTTTAGGGTTTAGGGTGTTTAGGGTTTAGGGTGTAGGGTTTAGGGTTTGGGGTTTCGGGATGTAGGGTCTAGGAGTCTAGGTTCAAGGAATATGGCCAAGCCTGTGAACTGTGGGCTCTTCTTGGCATCCCAACTTTCACCGTGCCATCATGAAGTCAGTCAGGCAGTGCCCCAAACAGAGGGAAAGGGGGGGGGGGGGGGGGGAAGGCGGGGGGCAAGAAGGGGAAGGGGGGCGGCAGGGGGGGGGGGGGGGGGGGCGGGCCATCTTCCCGGTACCTGACCTCAGTGAATATTCTCGGCTTGGCGCTTGTTGCTTGGGGTCTCGGGTTATCGACCTACAGACCCTCTTTGAAACTCGCACGCTGCGTTTAGGTTTAGGGTTGGGGTTTGAGGTTTGGGGTTTAGGGTTTAGGGTTTAGGGTTTAGGGTTTAGGGTTTAGGGTTTTTAGGGTTTAGGTTTAGGGGGTTTTTAGGGTTTAGGGTTTAGGGTTTAGTTTAGGCTTTAGCTTAGGTTTAGGCTCGGTTTAGGGTTAGGGTTTTTAGGGTTTAGGGTTTAGGGGGTTTAGGGTTTAGGGTTTAGGGTTTAGGGTTTAGGGTTTAGGGTTTAGGGTTTAGGGTTTAGGGTTTAGGGTTTAGGGTTTAGGGTTTAGGGTTTAGGGTTTAGGGCCCCCCCGCCGAGGCCTCGCAAAGGTTCTTCCAGGTCGGGTACGGCGCAAAGAGCGCGGGCACAATCAGCCAGCAGACGCAGGCGAAGATGATGGTGGCCATGGGCCTCAGGTTGGCTTCTAGGGTTTAGGGTTTAGGGTTTCGGGTTTAGGGTTTAGGGTTTAGGGTGTAGGGTTTAGGGTGTAGGGTTTAGGGTTTTAGGAATCAGGGCTTAGGGTTTGAGGTTCAAGGTTTTCTGGTTCACGGATGTGGCGCAGCCCTGGACCTTGGGCCCTAAACCCTGGCATGGCGGTTTGTGATTGGGTCTCATATGGTTCAACCCTAAACCCCCAAACCCCAAACCCTAAACCCTAAACCCTAAACCCCAAACCCTAAACCCTAAACCCTCAACCCTAAACACTCACAACCCTGAACCCTGCCCTTAGGCCCGAAGCTCCGACCTAGGCACCAACTTTCAGGCTAATCAAGAGCACCCGAAACCCTAAACCCCGAACCCAAAACCCCTGAAGCCTGGACCCTAGACCCGGACCCCCTATACACCCCTAAACCCTAAACCCTAATCCCTAATCCCTGAACCCTGAGCCCTGAACCCTAAACCCTAAACCCTGAACCCCCTAAACCCTAAACCCTAAACCCTAAACCCTAAACCCTAAACCCTAAACCCTAAACCCTAAACCCTAAACCCTAAACCCTAAACCCTAAACCCTAAAGCCCAAACGAACCCCTGGCTTGGGCCCTCGCAGGGCGCCCGCGAGGCCCATATTCGCGCTGCGGTAGAGGGTGTAGTAGTAGAGGAAGAGGCACGCATCCTATTCTTGGGGTTTGTGGTTTAGGTTTAGGGTTTAGGGTTTAGGGTTTAGGGTTTAGGGTTTAGGGTTTAGGGATGTTTAGGGTTTAGGGTTTAGGGTTAGGGTTTAGGGTTTAGCAGGGGCTAGCTTAAGGTTCAGGGGGTTTGGCGCGTTGCGTGCTTTACGGGCTTAGGGTTTGGGTTCAGGGTTTTGTGGGTATAGGTGTTTTTGGCTTCAGGATTGATATGGAGCTGCGGGTTTACGGGGCTTAGGTTGCTTGCATGTTTGCGAGTTAGGGTGTTTTTTGGGGTTGCAGCTTACGTGCTGAGAGTTTAGGGTAAGGGGTTGAAGACTCCGGTTTAGGGGTTGCTAAACCCTATTTAAACCCGAAACCCTAAACCCGAGACACCAAACCCTCAAACCCCAAACCCCAAACCCCAAACCCTAAACCTCAAATCCTAAACCCTAAACCCCAAAACCTAAACCCTAAACCCTAAACCCTAAACCCCAGCGGCCTGGTACTGCATGGTGCGATACTGCAGGAAGGTGTCGATCAACGTCAGCCTCGCAAGGCGCTCTAGGGGCCTCAAAACCCTAAACCCTAAACCCTAAACCCTAAAACCTAAACCCTAAACCCTAAACCCTAACCCTAAACCCTAAACCCTAAACCCTAAACCCTAAACCCTAAACCCTTCAGGGTTTAGGCTTTAGGGTTGCGAGTTTGGGGTTTGGGGTCGAGGGTTTCGGGTGGGGCCTTGAGGGCTTCGAGGTTCGGTTGGAGGGTCGAGGGGTAAGATTTACAGCTAGAAATCAGGGCTCAGGGGTTTCGAGCTCAGGGTTGAGAAGGCCTTTGGGCTTAGAGGGTTGAGCATTTTTGCAGCACGGGGCCCAGCAGTCAGCAGCAGCAGCAGCAGCAGCAGCAGCAGCTTACGATGAGAATGAAGCAGCAAAAAGATAGCAAAAACCCTAAACCGTACGCCCTAAACCCCAAACCCTAAAGCCCTAAGCCCGAAACCCTAAACCCCAAACTCTAAACCCCAAGCTTGACAAGGGGGTCCAGATTGGACAAAACCCACTTCGGACCGGGCTGGCCACTGTGCTCCCAAAGCCTCGCGCTCTTCGGGAGTCAAGGTCGCAGTCATGGACCTGAAAAACATCCCCCAGAGCTGCCGCAGGGACGCCAAGGAGCAGAGACAAGGGTTTAGGGTTTAGGGTTTAAGGTTTAGGGTTTAGGGTTGACAAGGACTGAGTCGCCTGCTGAACACCCGCATGCATCGGCTCATCTCGGGCCTGTTGCGTAGCAGATGGCCCAAGCCTGCCACGACCACGCTCCGAGAGCCCTTCCTTGCACCGCCCTTCTCAGCGACTCTGGCACGCGCTTGAGAGCCTGTACCGGCAGGGGTCGCCCGGCCCGACTTTGCTTGCCTCATTCGCTGCTGAAGATAGGACCGATGAAGCAAAGACTTCGAAAAGCGGGTTTCTGCAATGTCCTTCTCTGCAGTAGTGCCTTCAGCGTTCGAGGTGAGTCGAGGCAGAGAGAAGCCCGTGCCCTGCAGGAGCCATGCATTCATGGTCTCGACTCACTCCCTCCGCGGTAACATGCCGGGCTTGTCCTTGCCTGCTGCACTGCGCTACAGTCAGGCCAAGAGTGGCATCCAGACTGTCGCCCGCAAACATAGTGAGCCTCTAAGTCTTGAAGAAATGGCCGATGTTACGACCGGGCTCTATTCCTAGCTCCACTAGAATAAGGCAGACACGGAACTCGCACTCCGTAAGAGGCTCAAAAGCCATGGAGCGCGAGAGCTACCCTAAAACCCAAAACCCTCAACCCTAAACCCTAAGCACCTAAGGCCTACAACCTGAAACCCTAAACCCCTAAACCCCTAAACCCTTAAACTCTTAACCCCTGAACCCGAAACCCCAAAGCCCCAACCCCTAAACCCCGAAGCCAGCCCAGAGAAAGGAAACCCTAAACCAAATTGGATTTCGGGTAGTTCGTTCAGTAAATAGGGACCCGAGTGACCTAAACCCACGAAGGCGCGCCAGCTCGAGGTAAACCCCTCCGCAACGAAACGGCCACCGCTAGCCCAGTGGAACGTCCAGATTCGAGGTCTAAACTTCTAGGCCCAAGTGTAACCTAGGAATAAACAAGGTACCCTTTTTGGCTTAAAGGGGCTTATGAGGGAACCCTAAACCCCTTGAGAAAGGGAATAGGGGCCGGCTCTGCGTCCTAGGTGTGTAGGGTTCAGAATTTAGAGTTGAGGGTTGCAGCTGAACCGTCAGCCCCAAAACCTCCAAACCGGAGTTGGAAGCGAAACACAATACCCCAAACTCCAAGTCGTCTAAGTCAGGACTACCCGGGTTCCTTTGACATGGGGCAACGAACTCGTCGAATTCCTCACTAAGCATCAGCCAGGGTTTTGGGTTTTGGGTTTAGGGTTTATAAGTTAGGGTTAGGGTTTAGGGTTGGTGTTTAGGGTTTGGGGTTTAGGGTTTCGGGGCTCAGGGTTTAGGGTTCAGGGTTTCAGGATTTGAGTTCCGGCAGCAGCCTGGTGTTGGCGTTGGGTCGGCCGGTGGCTCGATACGTGGCGGTGCCCGTTCGCAGTGCCTGCGTCGTGTAGGGAAACGAGCCCCCCTGAACCCTGAAGAGGAAGCAAGAAACCTCAAAACCTTGATGAGAAATTTAGGGACTATAGTACCCCCTGGTATACTCCCTACTAGGGACTGTTCCTATACCGGGGGAACATCCCAACCTAAAACCCCAAAACTCCAAAGCCCCGAAAATCCCTGAAACTTCAAAAGCCCAAATCCCAAAAGCCCTATGCCTCGGTACCCCAGCAACCATCTCATAATAAGGGTATCCTTATGTTGGTACTTTATAAGGGAGCCCAGAACCCAAAAAAAAAAACAGTGCAGGGTACCACGGGGCTATCAAGGCCTAAACCCAAGGCCTTGGGGGGGGGGGGGGGTGGGGCTTGGGCAACCCCCCAAGCCCGACTTGTGGGCTGTTTGGAGGACGTGTTGAGAGGGGGGTTGAGGGTCTAGGGGACCTCCTAACATCCTGAAGCCTAAACCCTATACCCCCAACCCCAAACCCTAAACCCTAAAAGAATGAAAGCGCTTTGGTGTGGGTTTGGGGTTCTGGCCCTGACGGGCGGCGCGCTTGTTTTCCCTTGGAGTCACCGCGCAGCTCTGCGGGGTGTGGGGCTGCGAAAGGGCCTAAACCCCAAACCCTAAAACCTCAACCTTATAACCCTAAACCTTATAACCCTAAACCGTTACACCCTTAGAGGCTTTAGGGTTTAGGGCTTAGGGATTGTAGGGTTTAAGGTTATGGATGCAGGGTTTCTGGTTCAGGGCTTAGGGACTATAGGGTTTAGGGCTTAGGCTTCAGGCTTTAGGCTTTAGGCATAACCGAGGACACCCAAACCCGCAAAAGCTCAACCCCAACGGCCGTCAACCCTAAACCTAAACCCGCAC